TCGGAGCATGACATTACTTTTATTCTTAGTCAATCTAAAATAGAATAAAACATTTACATATTTAGGAACGGTTTCACTTTAAAATACTCATTATATCCTCATTTAAATGATTTATAGCACACTAACATCTATGCCATATATTAGAGCGCAATTGGTTTTTTTTACCATGATGTTCAGGCTAACATTAGCACAACATGGACTAATTCATTGAGATACTTTCCACGTCTCGCAAACAATTTTTAGACCAAAAATTTGGAAGCTTTTCTATTTTTCATGAACTCTGTGAAAATTCAAGAAACCACTAAAGATTAAACAATTATTTTTAAAGGAACCCACACCTTACATTTTTACAGCATAAACAACTTAAATCTTTTATAACTACTCTACGACAAAACTAGACTATACTAGTGCAATATTCTGATATGGGGTGTCATGAAGATCTGTGGTTTATGAAAGAGAAAAGATCTTTGACAACAATGTATATCGTCAAATTAATATCATGCTGATCTTAAGAAGTTTTACTTCTGCTATTTCTCTAACACTATGCTTGTCAAACAAAGATGAAATGTTAGTGCTGTCTAGATGAGCTTACATGACATACAATCGAGAGGTAAATTGATCAAATATACAAAGGTTGCTAAGTTTCATTCCAATATTGCGTCAAACTTATACAATCAAAGCCTAGTTTGTCCCCTTTTACAAAACAAACCAAGCACACATCAGGAATGAATGTTGCAGCAACTTTGACGGATGGAAATGTGTAGCAAATGACTTGTAAATAAAAATACCATCTTATACATTTCTATTAACATATATATATTATTTATTTTTGATGATTTTCCTTCTTGTTTGCATATAAATTGTTTTTACATTTCATGTGAACTATCAAGAAGGTTCTTTGTTAACTAAGATGTACTTTTTGGCAATTTCAGGAGGTGACAAGCTGATGTTAATCAATTAATCGACTTCACGAATCAAAACGGTGCCTCCCAATTCTCCATGTTGCTGAGTGTTAGCCATGTTGTCACTCTGATAAAAGTTAAAAAAAGCTTGTCCTTCCGTTGATTATCTTTTTTATGCAGTATATATCTTGAGATTATTGTTATAATTTTATTTTATATATATATATGACACTGCTAGTGGTTGTTTTGCACAACTTGTAATGAATTTCTGGTGTACATGGTTAAAAGGGATAAATTTCATCATGTCAAATTTTATAGGACACATGGACAGGGATTTGAGAGTTTTGACACCATTGAAATCATTATATAGAGATGAGCACATATGGAAAGAGCAATCGCTTTCTAGGCATATCGTCACATATGCTAATACATTACATGTATAATTTGCAATTAACGAATGTAGCCAATTAAAACTCATCCAACATTGTATTTCACAAGCTTTAGTGGCACTTAATGTCTTGTCCCACATCGATGACAAACAAATATACTCATTTTATAAGAACTCGACCTGAAATATATATTGCCGAGCTTAGTAGTGTGAGCTTGTAACCCAAGTTGGAGCAATAAGATGATCGGGACAAATCAAATCTTCAGCCATTGACACAAATAGTGCATTGCGTTGGGTTTATCATAATAAGCAGTTCATAGTATAATATGAAGTATTATTATTCCAATACTAATAAATAGTAATATTACATTGACATGGCAGTGGGAGAGATTGGATAACTCACCCCTCATTGGCTGGCTTAACAGAGCAGCGTTCTCATATTACATGAAAGTCGATCTGCGTCTGTGAAAGACCAGTTCTCGCACACTCCCAAGTCAGCACTAGAAATGTCAGACTGTTATTTTTTGGGACCATCATCTTTTTATTTGTCCATTGTTCGGATTAACCTTTTATTTCATAATATTTGTGTCAGTATCAATTTATTGGTTATTTTGGTTTATATAAACAAAAATTAGACTTCCAAAACAACCTTGTTTTATTTTATCTATATTAAAAGAAGTAAATCGTTGGGATTCTATGTTAGGCAAACATGTTTCGATCTCTTACTAATGAGATTATGCATGAAAATGTGAAAGAATTCGGAGCATTTCATGTCAACAAGGTCAGTAAGTTGACAAGCAAAGCTTATGTTATCTTGGAGGACATCAAATACGAAGAAAATGTTGTTATTGGTCAAGTCAATGTGAATCTTGTGTCTTTTTCCCAGCAACTGTCAACTGTCAACTGGCATTGTATTTCTATACTCATTGATATTCATAGAAAAGAATAATCTTCTACTGCCATGTAAGTTTGTATCAACTTTATTTTGGCTAAAAAGAAATGAAAATTTTGGTCAAAGGATAAGTTTTTTATGTCGATTTCATAGGGTATTCATCTTTGCAATGTAATCTTTTTGATTTCATGTATTGTAATGCCCCAAGGGTACACCCTAAAAGTTACACGGCATACTTAACCTCTCGGAGGTCTTGTACAAGCCTCTTAGCTATCATTCATTACAAAGGTATGAAAAGTAGTGCGGAATTAAAACATTCCACAACATAACTAAAAATATACTCTTTTATAAAATTAAAGGAACGAAATCTCATAATAACAAACCAACTTAGACATAAATAAAATTAAAATTTCTTAGTTTTTTTTTTAAAAAAAAAGAAGAAAAAAAGGAACAAAGTCTCATCATCATAAGACAACTTAGACACGTCTTAATATCATAGGGTCACTGCCCTTTACATTGAAAGAAAACATGCTAAGTCTTAGTCAAGTCTTTGACATAAAAGAAACATAGTCTATGTCCTCGAACATATGAGAACATACTAATCTTGAGATAATACAATTTCCCAAGCTTTGCCTTCTAAGAAACCTTCACTTGCCTTCTAGTTATACTTTGGAAATATAGAAGAGTATGGAGTTAGTACAAACATTATACTAAATACGGCATTATGCAAAATCATGCTAAAAGAAGACATTTTAGTTGAAACATACTTTTCATGCTATTTTGGTTAAACCTTCGTGAATAAACAGTACAAGACATCATATGAGTCACCATTTATCATATGAAGTATAACTTCCATAACTCTCAACATATAGTCACATTCATCTTTAGACTTTCCTATTCAAAGTTATCCTAAGACTCACCTAGGTAAGACATGAACAAACCGCCCATACAACCTCTTCAATACACACCTAAGGGATCCTTAAGACTACTAAGGATAAGCATACTTCATTTCGACTAAACAAGTCAACACTCATTACTAATTGAAAAATACATTCATTTGAGAACTCCACATAAAGACCATCCTCCAAGACAAACCCCAAGTTACACTAGTTCAATATGAAAGAGCATCCCATACTATTATTTCCACTTAGGGCTCCTTAGGAATCACCCTAGACTAGGCATATCACATTCACCATTTTCATAGCATGCACTTACTTAAGATATTAAATTAACATACTTCATTACATTACACATATAGTCAACATGTTTCATAAACAGTAGACATATAATTAACATGCTTCTTAAACCTTAGAATTAAAGTCAACTTACTTCATTAACATCATACAGTAACCCATCATTCAGTTACATATAAGGACACATCAAAACTCTCTCCAAATGTCTACTTGTGCAATGGATAGATGATGTCACCACTTACCCTAAGTAGTACACCCTTAGGAAGTCCTAGTTCATTACATTCATTTATAGGGTCTAGTTTTCACCGACATAGACCATGAGAGCTTGACATGGAATCCTAGTATTAACCCCTACCGGATGAGGGATCGCAATTTGCCTAAGGAAGGGTCATACTTTTAGCCTTTACATGGATCTCCAGTAGCTACACCTATGGGGGTGCATAGTTAAAGGATAAAGAGATTGGTTCTAAATAACTCATTTAAACTAATGAAAAGCACTCTCCTCAAGAGGTACATTGGATACAACATCTCTACTCACGAAGAGTATCCAAACCCTTATTGAAATCTTCTTGGTGCTTATCATAACTATCCCACAGAGTCTTAAACATTCTTCACATTCATTACTCTAGGTTAAGGGATGGCTAGTTAGTACCACATCTCAACTAACGAAGAGTACTTATTCCTAGAGGTTACTTTTGAGTACCACATCTCAACTCACGAAGTGTATCCGACCTCTAACCTATATTTGGAAAGCTCTTTGGGAATAGCGATGTTGCTAGTGAAAAATTCATCTCAACTCACGAAGAGTTTCAGCGACGTTGCTAGTGAACACTTCATCTCAACTCACGAAGAGTGTCCACCTAAAAATCCCCAATTTTCATTCATAAGAGTTCATATAAATATTGGGGTTGATACTAGTCACTATATTTGTACTCACAATTAGTGCATACCCCCATTCATTTAATAGAGTCTTATTGAGAAAACCTTTCAATACTTTCGGTCATACATTTACATTAACTTCATTCATCCATTCTTTCTTTGTGTGTGTGAGTATATGTAAGAACACCTTTCACATAACCCCTATCATTCATAACCTTTGCATTCTAGATGATGTTATATTTATCATAATTCACACACCATTGTTGACACCAAAATTCTATGTGATAGTTTTAAAATTAATATATTTTGAGTATTTTATTTTAAATAATTCAAAATACATGTTTTTGACAATTTAATGAAATTTGTTGATACTCATCCTTTTTCTCAAAGTATTAGGATTTTTATCGATTGCTATGTTTATATTATTTTGTCACATCGAGACGTTCAAATATTTGTTCATTTCTTATAAAATTATTATTTATGTTAAATTACATTTTTACATGTAATTGATTAAGTTTATTACAATTTTTATATTTATTTTTTTACTACATTGTTAATATTCATTTTGACATTCTGCACAGTCTAAAAAATTCATTCAAATTCGAAGTCAATTTACTTACACGGATATTGTATCAACAAATAATTTTTGACCCACAATCTCAAGCCCATAAATTAAGTCATTTTTTCAAAATTCCCTATCTATATAATATGTGACTCATTAGATTAAGGAGATGGTGAATAAATTATTAAATTTGGGGAGTGTAATTTTTAGATTTGGAATTTTTCTAAATGTTTTTTATTTACTCTTTGCATTTTCTGACAAGTTCATCGAAGCTTGGGTAAATAAACAAAGTTCATTTCCACCGCCATCACAATAGCTCCCCGGTGTTGTATTTGACTTTTCTCCGGGTGAAATCCACCTGAACAACCTACCCGGCCAGCCATTCCAGATCAGGGACAAGACAACACTAACATCCATCTCCTTCCTCTCTTCCTCCCTGCCGGAATCCGGCGAAACACCACCAAAACTCCCCTTTGTTTCTCTCCTTTTTAAAGCCAAGCAAACCAGAAACACACCCACAACAGCCAAAACGAGCACTCTACCACCAAAAAACCACCATTTCTGACGGTCGGAGCCACCAGAACAACAACCCCATCTCTCCATTTTTCCGACCCCAAACAGACCCCATTTTCCTTTCTCTTCTCTGACCAGTCACACCTTTAAAACATTACCCTCTTAAAATTTTTGTTTGTTTTGCAGGTATTCCGGCAAGCCAAAGCCATGCTTTGCTGTTGTTCCAGGATTTCTCCGGCGAAGGACAACAAACCAGACCCTTCCATACGTTGCCTCTTTCACAACCCAACTCCAGAGAACAATGGATCCAACCATTTGTTTGCTTCAGGTAATTATAGTTCATTAGTTCCATTTTTCTATTCCTTGTTTTCTATTGGGTTGATTTTCATTTTTTTATTAGTTTATATTTTCTGACGATCTGGGCATCTACTTGTTTCTAATATATGTTTATTTTAAAAATTATTATGTTGTTCTTGATATAGATGACATATATTTGTTTTTGTATTTAATGTTCTGTTATTTTGTGTTCGTTGTTGCTTTGATTGGAAACTTTAAATAGTTATTATTACTGCATATTTGGTATAAATCTTTATTTTGGACTCATCTTTTTATGTCTTTGGCTTCCCTTTTATATTATAATATTGGCTTCTCTTTATTATTGTTAAGAACTATTTTATATTTTATTGACTTTGTGTTTATATACTTACTTAAATCATTCTTGAGTGCCTATTTTAGTACTAAATTATCTCTACACTTTGACAAAGTACTTGTGTCACTTTGTTATTCGGTGATTGTTAAAGTTTATTTTTCATTTATTTATTTTTATTGTAGCACTTTTATTTTCTTATCATGTTACTATTATTTTTGTTATCGAACAATTATTTATTGATCTCATTCATATGCATCGGTTGAAATGACTTTCAATTCTTTCTATTATATTGTTTTTGCTATTCTAAATTATTAAAATGACCAATGGTAAAATTTCTTCGGCATTTTGGAGGCCTTCCCATTTTAAAAGATGAAAAATTAGTTAAGTTCATATTATTTGTTTTGTTAAAATTGACAAATGAGAAAATCTTTCCGTCGGTTTTAGAGACCTTCCCATTTTAAAAGATGGAAACTATTTAAGTTCATAGTATTTGTTTTGTTAAAATTGACTGATAAAGAAAATACCGTCGATTTTCAAGACCTCCCATGTTAATAATACAAATTTTTATTTTTAAGTTAATATTTCATATATTCAAGTTTATTCATATTTATGTTTTACTAACTTTTTTTAAAGTGTGTTTACAGGTACCCAAGACTTGCTTCCTTGAAGCGATTCGAAAAGAGTTCGAATTATATTTTTCAATTCATTATTTTGTATATATCGATGTTAGGCAAACTTTAGGCCGATATTATTATTTTATTTTATTGTGTATGTTGCATGATTATTATATTTGTATATTATTTTATTCACCTCCTCAATTTGGAACTCAATCGGGATCAACATTTGTGGATTTCGAAGGATGCCTAACCCCTTACCTTCGAAATAATTTGAACCCCTTACCTAGATCAATTGGTTTCATAGACTACCTTTTAAGTTAATTTGTTAATTGGTTTCATAGTTTTCCTAAAAATTAGGTGGCGACTCCCTTTAATCTCTTTAAACTCATTTTATCTCTTTTAACCCCTTTTAAACTTTTTAAAATTCTTTTAACTAATTATTATTTTAATTGAGTCACCGTCATGTTGCTCACATTCAAATGATGTCAACAACTATCATGCTTTGCATATACATATACTTCAGTTCGACATAGTATCTTTAAGACACACATGCACAACTTCACAATACATCACATGCATTTTCATCATAACCTCATCTAACTTCAAATTCAAGGCCTTCAAGGCCATAAGCACAATTCACATCAATAATCATCTACATCAAGTAAACACCGCCACCATAAGTGGACCATACCATTCAAGATGAATTCAACAAGAGTTAGGCAATATAAATCAACTTACCCATCATCCAAGCTTTCACAACCTTTCGTAGATTCTCCAATATATCATTATAATTAATGGCAGTAGATAATCACATTACAACATAATAAAAATTCAATTCTAACATTGTCTAATCGTAATCATCAAACACATTTCATAAATTAAAATTTGATAATTTGCATGAGCATGGGTTCATTGAGTTTTTTACCTTAAAATCATCACCTAATATTAATAATATCATATTACATCCATTAAACCTTTTCATCCAAGAACTCATACATAGAATTCGAAATAGAGGAATATCGGAAATTGATACCTTTTTTAAAATCAATTTGATTTGATCCTTAAATGAGAGAAGAATCAAGGATGAACTATCGTACCTTATATGAAGAAAACCCACGATATTTAATGGAGAAATGACCAAAAATCTTCAATCCTAGCTATACGTTGAGTTCAAGCTTCCATGGAGTCTTGAGAGAGTTATTCTTCGGAGAGGAGTTTTGATTTTTCTAAAAGTGAAGTCTACCTTAGATTTTTTAGGAGTATAAACTAACATAAAATACCTAAAAACCCTTAAAACAACCAAAGATAAGTTAATTAGGATGTGGGGTAAATTTCTCAATCACCCCTAAGATGGCCGAATTGCATGCAGAATCTGCAGGCTCCAAAAACCAGACACCATGCACAGGGTGTCATGTGATCGATGGTCCGTACTACATGGGTGTAATTTGATTTAGAGGCTGACTTTTGTGGGATAAGATTTCCATCACGAAGTGTGGAGATACTCCCCCAAACGAGGGGGCGTCGTTTGACTAACAACTCGTGAACTAGGGTCGTCGTTTAGGCAGTGTTTGGTAGGTTTCTTGCCAAGTCTTGGGTCCTTCTCAAGGACCCTTAGGGTGGTCCTTTGGGAGTCTTACCTAGAAGTTTCAATCCTAAATATTCCTATATAGGTCTTAGGTTCCTTTCCTATCAATGTAGACACCAAACAACACATAAAACATACAGAGCCACACTAGTCGTTAAGTGTCTTGGTCGTTCCTTTAACTTTGACTTCCAAACTCTACAAACGGACTTCAAATGCTAAATTTTAGTACATTGACACATAATTAACTCACTAAACACATATGAATCTAAGTTTCACCTATTTTATTTTGAGGGTCATTACATGTACACTCAAACATATTTATAACAACATCGTTTGTATAGATACATTTTGACTGCTGTACGAAATATTATTATTGAGTACATATAATATATTATAACATGAACAATTAGTTTCATAGAGAACTTGGGCATTACAGTCAACTATTATATAGAGGATAAGATGATTGTTATAGAAATTTCTGACCGTACATAAAATGAAAAGGGGAATGCATGCAATAGAAACAACAACATAAATAAAACCATGATCTGAATAGCCCAAATATATGTTGTGTAATGTTAATTCTTTTATAATAGAAGCATAGTAAGAAAATTAATCAATTCATTCATTAATCAACCATTGGCTCACAAAAATTAAGCTCCACCTATCTATTTGACGACCAAAGTCAAATCCTTGCATTCTTATTACTACAACGAAATAAGATTTATGTTCGATAATTTGGTTGACTGATGATAACTATGATTGGTTAGGTTCTAAACTTGCCTAGACCTACATCTCCAATAGATATTAGGAGTTTCTTGTGGTTGGTTGGATATTATATAACGTTCATCGAGAGGTTCTCATCTATTTGATATCCACTGACTAAGTTTACTTAGAAAATAGTGAAGTTTGAATTGCATGAAGCTTGTGAGAAAAACTTTTAGGAATTGAAAACTAGGCTGACTGTTGCCCCTGTATTAACCTTACTAGAACATAGCAAGGTGTTCTGTTATATTGTGATGCGTCTAGATTTGGACAGGATTGTGTATCAATGTAGAATGACAAGGTTATATTGTATGCATCAAGACAACTAAAGGTTCACAAGAAGAATTACAACCCATGATTTAGAGTTTGTTGTTGTAGTGTTCACTTTTAAAACATGGTGTCCTTACCTTTATGGTGTTCATATAGTTGTGTTCACCGATCGCAACAGTCTTCAACTGGTATTCGTAACAAAGAGCTTAATCTCAAACAGAGGACGTGTTTAAAGTTACTCAACGACTATGACATAAGTATTCTACATCACTCATATAAGGCTAATGTTGGTGTTGATACTTTGAGCAGATTGTCAAAGGGTAGTACCGCTAATATTGAGGAAGAAAGAAAAGAATTATCCAAGGATGTGCACAGACTTAAACATTTGGGAGTCCATTTGTACGATTCCAATGAAGTTGGAGTAGTTGGGATGAATGGGGCTGAATCTTCATTAGTGTCTGAAGTGAAAGAGAAACAAGACCAAGATCCTATTTTGCTTGAATTGAAGGCAAATGTTTATAAGAAAAAAGTTATGGCTTTTGAACAAGTGGTAGGTGGTGTATTGAGGTATCAAAGAATATTGTGTGTACCAAGGGTGGATGAACTCCAACAGAGGATCATGGGAAAAGTTGTAGCTCTAGATATTCTATCCATCTAGTTTCCATAAAGATGTATCATGATTTGAGAGAAGTATATTGGTAGAGTAGTATGAAAAAGAGTATTGCAGAATTCATTTTTAAATGCCAAAATGGTAAATAAGTAAAAGTAGAACACCAAAGGCCTGAAGGTATGGCTCAGAATGTTGATATTCTCGAATAGAAGTGGGAAATGATTAATATGGATATTACTAGTTTTCTGCAATCCTGAATTCAACATGATTCCATTTGTGGAGTTCTAGATCGAATGACTAACTCAGCCCTTTTTTTCTGGTAAAGACCACCAATTCAGTAGAGGATTATATCAGGTTATATATTAAAGTGTTATTTAGATTTTATGGAGTTCCAGTTTTGATTATTTTAGATAGAGGTGCATAAGTTACTGCACCATTCTACAAATATTTCTAGAAAGATTGGGGTTCGAAAGTGAATTTCAGTATTGTTATTCATCCCAGACTTATGGTTTAGTAGACATCACCATTCAGACTTATAATATATGTTGAGGGCTTGTGCGATCAATTTCAAGTGTAATTGGAATGATCACCTACCTCTCATAGAGTTTGCTTACAACAATATTTATCATTCCAACATCCAAATTGCTTCTTATAAGGCTCTTTATGGAGAAGATGTAGATCTCATGTTGGATGGTTTGAAGTTGGTAAATCTGGGTTGATATGATCGTAATTAGTTATCAAGCTATGGAGAATGTGAAGAATATTCAAGACATGTTGAGAATAAAGCAGGGTCACCAGAAATCTTATACAAATGTTCGGTGGAGAGACATAGAGTTTGACATAGATGATTGGGTTATAATATTTTTCAAGAAGGGGAATGTTAATCCCAAATATATTAATCTGTAGAGGATATCGAAGAGGATTGGAAATGTAATTTATGAGTTGGAGCTACCACAAGAGTTAGTCGTAGTTCATCAAGTGTTTCACATTTCTATATTGAAGAATTGTATGGTCGATCCTTCACTTATCATACCTACTGAAGATATCAGTATTGAGGATATCTTATATTATGAAGAGATTCCCATTCAGTTAATAGATCGCCACATTCACAAATTGAGAACCAATGAGGTAGCATTAGTAAAGGTACTATGGAGAAATAATTTGTAAAGGAAGTTACATGGGAGTCTGAGGAAGATATGAAGAAGAGATACCCATATATCTTTTAGTCCAGAAAAGTTCTTGATCAAGTTACTAATACTATTCTTAGTACTCTTTAATTGATATATTGCATTTTTTAGATTTGCATGCTGGGTGTTTGACCCGAGATTAGATGTTACCACCCTTAGTTCTACTTAGAGTAGTATCATTAGAGGATGAATATTCCGAAGGGGGAGATATGGTAACATCCCTCCTTTGAAATATCTAAAAACAGAAAAGAACTAATTTAGAAAGAGCAAAATCTGAAATCTTATAAGTTAAGCTAAAGTTATGAGTTTTGAGTCAACTTCAAGTGACCATTACTTTTAATACATGTTGATTTAGGTGGACTATAAGATATCAAATGAAGTCCTTTGAATCCTCTTTCAAACTCCACTGAGTTTCTAACTTTAGAGTTGAGGCAGATAAGCCCATTTGAAATCAACATTACCCAGATTTAAGTGGGTTATTTGGTCCTTTTCTTACCCTGTCAGATTTATTTCATTTCAAGTAATACAATATGGTTCTAAACTGAATACTTTGAGTTTAAGCAATAAAAATTCACGCTAGGGTTTTGTAATAAGGTATGAGACGAGAAAAAAGGAGAAAAATCAAGATTTCATTACATTCTTAAGGTTTCATTGCAGATTTCTCTAAGGGTTTGATCCTAAGAGGCATGTGAGTTCAGATAGCATTGGGTTGTTCACCCATGCGCCAATCATATTAATTTTAGTGTAATTTGCTTCCTAAAAGGTTGAAAATTTGATGTCTTGATTTGTATTCTTGAATTTGCTTTATTTCAAGGATTAGGATGGGATTAATGAGTTCTGAGATAACCGTATCAATTTTATGAGCTTTTTTGGTAGATTCTTGTGTACATGTATTGGGTAACTGAATTTAAAGAGTAATTGAGAAAAAAATACAATCTAGTCGAATTAAGGTCAGAAAATAAGAAGAAAAATCATTGGATTGGACTGTGGAAGGGTGGTGCGGCGCGCCACTAATACGTTAATAGGTCTGGCGTGGAGCACCAGCAGTGAGCAATAATGTGGTCTCTCAAATAAAGGGGTTGGCGCCCCCGCCAATCGCATAACCTACCCATTTCCATAGCCTGTCTGAATCATTCTAACGTGTACTAACACTTTCAATCAATTCTAACTACTCTAAATGAATTCTAAACATTTGGAAATCATCCATAAACAGGAATCATAAACTTGAATCAACAAATTTAAATTCAAGTTAGACCTAGAAGTCAAGTCTTCAAAGTTCTTCGAGTCTTTTGAAAAGTCTTTTACAGTTGTTTTAAACTTGTTGTAAGACTTGAACATTGAATTGAGGTTGAGTCAGAGTGATAGTGAAATTCATTTTCCTTAAAATGATATAAGAGAACTAAGTAGTTCCAAGAGTAAGTGTTTTCACATTTAAATAAGAGAGCAAACACTTATTTTCAAGAGAGATTTTTAGCTTGTTTTTGAGTATCATCTTTTTTAAGAGATAGATTTTTGAGTAATAATCTAAAACCACGTACAAGTTATGTTATTAAACATATGAGTTATCTACATTTTGGGAGTTGTATTAAGAATCGATACGAGGACGAGTTTAGATAGCTCAAAATTTTCATAAAACGTGTAGCCAACATAGGTAGAAAGGGTCATACTTTGTAGATGATACCTTGATTTTTTAGCATGGATTAATGGTTCCATGTATTAGTAGATTCTATACCCTGCAAAGTATAGGACGACCTTGGCAGCGTGAGCCAAGACGATGTATCATCACACAGCTCATAGTGATGGTTGTCGGTTAGAGAATCTCCCATTTAGTTACTTGTATTTTCATATACAAACTGAGTTATTGTTGTGTTTTAAATACACTTAGTTATTATTTATATGGTTTAATGTTTTTCTTTATATTTTATTTTAATCACTACATGTATTTAAATGAATTGAGTTGAGACGGGGAAAGTTTCTTCATTTCCTTTATCAAGATTATGTCTTGTTCTAGAGTTCCCCTCACATACTCGTACATTCTATGTCCAATTGGTCTGCATCTTTTATGATGTAGATAAGGGTAAGCAGGATGAACACCCAATTCTTCGTTGATCCAGTTGAGCTTCACAGTTGTTAGTGAGCCTCCGTGCTTCCAGAGGATTCCCTTTTATTTACTTTACATTCTAGTTTGCTAGGATGTCGTGGGTCTTGTACCGACATCCACCAAAATTATTAAAGGCTTCATAGACAGTTAGATATTGTTTTTTCATGAGTCTTTACATTCTCGTAGTTATGTCGAGACTTGAGTGTCACTTTTGCTAGTTGAATGTTAAATTATAAAACATTTTAAGTTATCCTTGAGTTACAGTTCACTTTTTAAAGTGCTCTTATTTTAAGAAGGTCTTCCTCTAAGAATTAAGCAAGGCCAAAGTTTCGCTTCGGGCCAACAATTGTTCTCAATTGTAGGCCACATCCTGGGTGTAGGCTCGGAGCTTGACATTACTTTTCCTTATAGTCAATCCCAAATAGAATAAAACATTTATATATTTAGTAATGATTTAACTTAAAATACTCATTATATCCTGATTTAAATAATTTTTAGAAATTTAACATCTTTGACATATATTAGTGCACATTTTTTTTCTGACCATGGTGTCCAGGCTAACTTCAGCACAACCTTGACTAATTCCTTGAGATACTTGCCACGTCCCACAAACAATTTTTAGACTAAAAATGTAGAAGCTTTTCCATTTTTCATGAAATTTGTGACAAGTCAAGAAACCACAAAATATTATCCAATCATTTTTAAAGGAACCAACACCATTTATTTTAGACAGTATAAATAACTTAAATCTTTTATTACTACCATATGACAAAACTAGACTATACCAGTGCAATGTACTGATATATTATGTCATTAAGATGTGTGGGTTATGAAAGGAACAGGTCTTTGACAAAAATGTATACCATCAAATTAATATCTTGTTAACCTTGAGAAGTGTTACTGTTAAAGTCTCGCTGTTTTGAAGTATGACAAAGTTAGGAGTTATAGTAGTAGCATGGCAAAAGAGGAAAGATGTATGTATTATTTGTTGTGTTCGTAATGTCTTTTTTCCAATATCAAAAGGGGGGGATTTGTTAGAAGTCTTGTTGTTTTGAAAGATGACAAAATAGCGAGGAACGAGTTTTAACAATGCACATGTAACAAACGCGTGAACTTGTGCTTGAAACTGTAACAACCACGTTCGAATCTGTGTAGTATGAATATAGGATTCCAACAAGTACGAGTTCAACTGAGATTCATTAATCACAAAGAATAAGGAGAAATATATTTAAGAAAAATAATATTTTCTTTTCTAATTAAGGAAAGTTTGTTTTCTAAATTAATAAGAAAATTTGCTGGAAGGATTTTTGCATCCAAGATTGAGTGCAACAAGGATCTCGGGGTTAACAAGGCTTTGTTGAAGTTGAGTTCAACAATGATTTCGTTGAGAATATTGTGTTCATCCAAGTCGAGGCAACGTGCGACACAACAAAATCCCAGTAGTAGAAGAAGTACTTAATTAAAAATATTTTAAGGCAATCTATTATGTTATTTAATTAAGAACAAACCTTATGGAAAGGTTGTTTATCAAGTTCAAGTAGGATAAGAAATACTACAAAAATGAGGATTTTGTTCCGGCAACAATGTTCCAGCAACAAAGCTTAAAAGAAGTCCATGTTGAGTTTGGTTTTAAAGACGAAAGAATCATGAGTTTTTGTTGCGGTAAAGATCAAAAGTAGTCCAAGTTGAGTTCAACAAGGTTTGTGTAGCGGCAAAGACAAAGTTGAATAAAAAAAGGACTAGCTGAATCTGATCAATAA